ATATATGAAAAAAATTAAGGGATTTATATATGAAAAAATTAAGGGATTTATATATGAAAAAATTAAGCAATTAATATATAAAAACAATTTAGCGATAAATATCTATGAAAAAAATTAAGCTATTAATATATGAAAAAAATTAAGCGATTAACATGCAAAAATTAAGATATTAATATATGAAAATATTAAGGGATTTTAAGATGAAAAAATTAAGCGATTAACATATGAAAAAAATTAAGCTATTAATATATGAAAATAAGGGATTTATATATGAAAAAATTAAGGGATTTATATATGAAAAAATTAAGCGATAAATATATATGAAAAAAATTAAGCTATTAATATATGAAAAAAATTAAACGATTAACATATGAAAAAGAATAAGCTATTAACATATGAAAATATTAAGGGATTTTTATATGAAAAAAATTAAGGGATTTATATATGAAAAAAATTAAGCGATTAACATATGAAAAAAATTAAGCTATTAATATATGAAAATAATAAGGGATTTATATATGAAAAATTAAGGGATTTATATATGAAAAAAATTAAGCGATTAATATATGAAAAAAATTAAGCGATAAATATATTTGAAAAAAATTAAGCTATTAATATATGAAAAAATTAAGCGATTAATGTATGAAAAAATTAAGCGATAAATATATATGAAAAAATTAAGCTATTAATATATGAAAAAAAATAAGGGATTTATATATGAAAAAATTAAGGGATTTATATATGAAAAAAATTAAGCGATTAATATATGAAAATAATAAGGGATTTATATATGAAAAAATTTAGGGATTTGTATATGAAAAAATTAAGCGATTAATATATGAAAAAAAAATTAAGCTATTAATATATTTGAAAAAAATAAGGATTTATATATGAAAAAAAATTAACCGATTTGTATATGAAAAAAATTAAGCTATTATTAATATATGAAAAAAATTAAGGATAAATATATTTGAAAAAAATTAAGCTATTAATATATAAAAAAAATTAACCGATAAATATATATGAAAAAATTAAGCTATTAATATATGAAAATAATAAGGGATTTATATATGAAAAAAATTAAGCGATAAATATATATGAAAAAAAATAAGCTATTAATATATGAAAAAAATTAAGCTATTAATATATGAAAATATTAAGGGATTTATATATGAAAAAAATTAAGGGATTTATATATAAAAAAAATTAAGCGATTAATATATGAAAAAAATAAGCGATTAATATATGAAAAAAAATTAAGCGATTAATATATGAAAAAAAAACACTCCAAATTTAGAATATGACAATTTTGTTTTTTACAATTTATTTTTTTTTTTGTTTATTTGTTTTGTTTTACAGCATGTCAAACACAGTGGGCTATTTTTTTTTTTTTTTTTTTTTACAAAAATATATTGCAAGTAATAATTTTTTCAAAAATGTATTGCTGGCAATAATTTTTTCTTCAAAAATTTATTGCTGGTAATTTTTTTACAAAAGCGTATTGCTGGTATTAAAACCTATTTTTAGACTTTCATAGTGTTTTGATCCTAGTTTGTGGGTTAAGTATTTGTCCAAAGCTGGGACCCTAACAGGTGCTACCACCCCAGGTGCAGGTGGACCAGCAATTAAAAGGGTGGTTCCGCACTCCTCAAATCCTCCTAATCAGAGGCCTTGCTGTTGTGGATGTAGTTTATCGTCATACCCAGGACCGGAATATTTTGTTTTAGCTTCCGTCATTGGAATCCTTTTGCAATTAATTTACTTAGAAAATTGGACTCCTCATTACATTTTTATAACTTTTCATATATATATATATATATATATATATATATATATATATATATATATATATATATTTGATATTTGATATTTATGACTGGTTGTAGTGCTTATTGTATAACTTCATTTTCTATTCAGGACGTGGCTCTCCACAACTTCCTGCCTTTTGTAGCTCTGAGTAAAGTTTGTCTTTCTGCTATCTCTCTCAATTAATATTCTGTCAACCATCTGCAGCCGTTCATTAGCTCAGCCATGCGCTGTTTTCCGCTGCATTCAGTACACCCTGTGAGTGTCAAATTTTCCAAGCTCTCTTTCCTCCTTATGCGTGTCTCTTCCTTATTTTAAGAATTATTTGTGCTGTTTCTTGTTTCGATTTTTTTCTAAAACTTCGCTGTTATCGCCTGTTTTTTCTACGGCATTCTCAACATCCTTCTGTAGGATCACATCTCTGTAGCTTCAAGTTTCTGCTTCATCGGGGAAGAGATTGTTCAGCATTCACTGCCATATAGGAAGATCGATATTACATAACCGTTTAGTACTCGTTTCTTTGATCCTAACGAAATATACTATTTTGCTTAGCTTTCGAAAGGCATCTTTCGCTACCCCAATGATATCTTCTGGTAACGGTGTCTCATTTTTCTGTCGTCCTTTAAAACAATTCTCAGATATTTGAACTGTTATGATTTTTTTTGGTTTTTGGTATCTTCAATTTGTAATTTACATGTTTCCTTTACTGATAACCACACATTCTGTCCTGCAGCGTTAGTCCTTTCTTCTTCCTTTCCTTAACCATTTTCTCTAGAAGTTCCGTATTTTCCACTCGGAGTCAGCTATACACACCGTGTCATCTACATATTATACAGTGTAACCCGGATGTAAGAGAGTTGTCGGGACCGGAGAAGAAGACTCTTATATCCGGGTTTCTCTTATATTCGGGTTTGGTCTATTTTGTTTAGGTAAGTATGGGCTCTAATTTGGGACCAGAGAAAATCTCTCTTATATCCGGGTTTCTCTTATATCCGGGTTTCTTATATCCGGGTTACACTGTATATTGTGAAGAGAGTGTCCGTCAATAACGAAACCTGGTAGGATTTTTAATTATCTCAGAAACTCTTCATTGTGTAGATTAAATATGTCCGGTGAAAAGACACGTCCTTGTTTCACATACATTTCTATGTTTGTATAATTACTGAACTCATTTTATATACGCATGCAGTCGGTTTGCTCCCACTGTACCTAATTATTGTGATTTCCTTCCAACCGGGATAGTGACTGGTCTACTGTAGAAAGAAATGGCAACCTACTGCGGGAAAAAAAAAATCTGCCTCGTCAGTCATGTATTGAAAGATTCATGATCGCCTAAGCGTGTATTGCGCATGGCATAACTGACTGACTTGTGAATGACGAAATCATATAAGGTTGCCATTATCTCTATTAGAATTCCGTCTAGCCCTGCCATTTATTTTAGGAAAAATATATCATTTTCAAACGATTATTTCATTTGTTTTTTTTAATATAGTAACTAAACAAATGAGGCATCTTGATGTAGCCGAGCGGTGGCTAACACATCTACCAGACGTATTAGTTGACAATTGGACTCGTTTCAAACTCAGAAGGCCATAAAAAAAAATCAAGATCGGTGTATAAACGCGTCTGTAGCTGGGTTGGAGATTCGGCTTCAGCTGGGCTGGTTAAACTCTCTGCCCAGAGGCAGAGAATATCCCCAGATGGGGCCATGCCGACCCCGTTTTATACGAGGTCTACGGGAAATTTTTTGTTCAGCTTACGAGCTTGGGAAACCCACATTAATTTCAGCCTTGTGCCACATCTGACTGGGTGGGGCTGTTTGGTAGATACTGTCCGTAGCTGGGTTTTGGACGGGTTTATTTGTCCGTGTCTGAAAAAAAAATATTCCGATTAAAAAACGTATATAAACGTCTACGCCGGGGAAAGGGCTAATTGATTGAATATAAAAAATGATCTTATTTATTCCATGTCCTCTCGGATCTCTGTCGACGCCATATTGGATGTTACTGTTGCGTTTAAATACGCGATCAAAATTAATAGCAACGTAATCTTAAATATATTGCATTTTATTAGATTAAATATTGCCCCGTATTATTAATATTTGACTCTTGTATTCTAATATTGATTTCAGTTGATTTTAATTACAAGTACAGACATCGTCGTCATATGATTTGTAAAAAATAATAATCATTTATACGCCTTGTATCTTCCGAAAGTGGCCTATCAATGTTTCTTGTAGCTCTAAGCATCATTGGTCTCATCATTCTTCCTCTTAAAAATTCAGAATGTGAAATTCGTAAATACTAAACACTCGAACTGACTCTGATTCTGATACGACTGCTTTCTACTCAGTCCCCCGACAACTGAGATGAGTTGTAACACAATGTCGGCATTATTATGAGGAACCCGGGCATTTCTCCACATCCTCATCTATGAGTAAATAGCAGGACAGACCAGGTTCTATAGCCTCGGATGGCAACTAGACTACCGCAGAAAAAGATGGCAACCTACTGCGGTAAAAAATCTACATGGTCGGTCAAGTATCGAAAGATACATGATCGCCTAAGCGTGTATCATGTATGGCACATAACTGATTGATAATAAAGTGCTTTAAACATTTAATGTCATTTTATATTTCTAGAAATCGCCAGTCAACTCACTTATATTTAAAATCTTGTTTTGTAAAAAATTCCATAAATAAAACGGATAAATATATAATTAGATAAATTCTAAAATAACTATAACAGTGATTTTTTTTAAAATCACTATGACAACGGAAGGCAGAATTTATCGCGGCTGCAATAAGGTTGTCTTTGTACTTTTATCCCTGAAGATGATCTTAAAAGGTTCGAAAGGACATGAATTAAAAATAAATCAAGCGCCTTCCTTGATGAATTTCCTCTTAACGTCAAGAACCTGATTAGTCAAGTGGAAAGGATCACCATGAAAATAAGTACACACGGTATGTCTATATTATTCAATGAAACATGTATGAATGAAGATATGCTGCCTAAATACACACACACACACACACACACACACACACACACACATATATATATATATATATAGAGAGAGAGATAGATAGATAGATGGATAGATAGATATGAACTGACTGAGATCGATTGAGGGATATATACGAATAGACTGCAACAGGTATATACATTGAAATAGACTTGAAATGACAGATATAACTAAATAAATGTATAGATATGAACAGATTGCGATAGATAGATAGATAGATAGATAGATAGATAGATAGATAGATAGATAGATATGAACGGAGTGAAATAGACTGAGTGATATATGAGAGACTGCAATAGATATGAACAGTTAAATATATTTGAAATGACTGTCATCTAAATAGATATGTAGATATGAACAGATTGGATGAGATAGATAGATAGATAGATAGATAGATAGATAGATAGATAGATAGATAGATAGATAGATAGAAACAGAATTGGATGAGATAGATAGATAGAAACAAAATGGATGAGATAGATAGATATAGATAGATAGATAGATAGATAGATAGATAGATAGATAGATGAATAGATAGATATAAAACAGAATTGGATGAGATAGATATATAGAAACAAAATGGATAGAGATAGATAGATAGATAGATAGATAGATAGATAGATAGATAGATAGATAGATAGATATAAACAGAATTGGATGAGATAGATATATAGAAACAAAATGGATGAGATAGATAGATAGATAGATAGATAAATAGATAGATAGATAGATAGATAGATAGATAGATAGATATAAACAGAATTGGATGAGATAGATATATAGAAACAAAATGGATGAGATAGATAGATAGATAGATAAATAGATAGATAGATAGATAGATAGATAGATATAAACAGATTGGATGAGATAGCTAGATAGCTAGATAGAAACAATATACGATAGATATGAACATATATATATATATATATATATATATATATATATATATATATATATATATATATATATATGTATGTATGTATGTATGTATGTATGCGATAGATAAAGATAGATTCTAATTTTTGAATTGCATATAATCAAAGATGTTGTATATGGAAATGTGAATTTAAAAGAAAAAATAACCACAACCAACTTTCAAAAAAGAAAAATGATTCTCTCACTCTTGTGACTTGTTCGATTTGCATTAATATTTGGACAGGATGCGTTGTGCGCAGAACCAGTAATTTGTGCCAATCAGCAGCTAATTAAAAGAGACACTGACACAAACGTGATCGGCGCGCGCTTCGACCCCGTTTCTCCGCCGTTTCGGGATGCACACATCAAAACAACCGCGAACCGCGTTCCGTTTCGCCTTGGCCGCGTTTGCGACGACGACGACAATGACGACGGCCTCCGACAGCAAGCCTGGGCGGCGGCAACAGCGCCAGCAAAAACCGATAAAGTGAAATGGGAAACCGATAATTCTTAAGCCTGATCACGGTGATGTTGATAATTAATGGATATGAAGCCAGCAAAAACGACATTGATGATGACGACGACTCTCTGACAACTAAAATGACACAATTGATGATTACAATATATATATATATATATATATACGGAAACGAAATCACACAGAACTGTTGTTGCGTTATTAATATAGGAAATGTTTCTTTTTACGATAACTACTAGAAGTCTATGTGTACGAACATATCAGTAACCATTAGTAGTTTGAGAATTCATAATAAGTCGATATATTATTTGGTAATTAATTTTAGTCGATATAATAATTGGTAGTTACTTGTTTTTTTATAAAAATGATCATAATAAAGACAAAAATGTGGAACGTTGTAAAAAAAAAAGATGAGGACAATGACGAAAGAAACGAGGAGAGATATGGCCCAAAAAAGAAAGAAAGAAAGAAAGAAAGAAAGAAAGAAAGAAAAAGAAAGAAAATGGGGTTATTCTTATCGTAGATTATCATCAAAAGAGAAAGAAGGTATGTAAGAAACTAGCAAACAGAAAAGGGATTGTTCTCACTAGATGTAAAGAAAAAGAAAGAAAGAAAGAAAGAAAGAAAGAAAGAAAGAAAGAAAGAAAGAAAGAAAGAAAGAAAGAAAGAAAATGAGGTTATTCTTATCGGAGATTATCATCAAAAAGAAAAGAAGGAAAAATGAAACAAGCAAACAGAAAAGGGATTGTTGCAAAGAAAGAAAGAAAGAAAGAAAGAAAGAAAGAAAGAAAGAAAGAAAAAAAAGAAAGAAAGAAAGAAAGAAAATGGGGTTATTCTTATCGTAGATCATCATCAAAAGAGAAAGAAGGTATGTAAGAAACTATCAAACAGAAAAGGGATTGTTCTCACTAGATGCAAAGAAAAAGAAAGAAAGAAAGAAAGAAAGAAAGAAAGAAAGAAAGAAAGAAAGAAAATGGGGTTATTCTTATCGGGGATTATCATCAAAAGAGAAAGAAGGAAAGTAAGAAACAAGCAAACAGAAAAGGGATTGTTGCAAAGAAAGAAAGAAAGAAAGAAAGAAAGAAAGAAAGAAAGAAAGAAAGAAAGAAAGAAAGAAAGAGAAAGAAAGAAAATGGGGTTATTCTTATCGGAGATTATCATCAAAAGAGAAAGAAGGTAAGAAACTAGCAAATAGAAAAGGGATTGTTCTCACTAGATGCAAAGAAAAAGAAAGAAAGAAAGAAAGAAAGAAAGAAAGAAAATGGGGTTATTCTTATCGGAGATTATCATCAAAAGAGAAAGAAGGAAAGTAAGAAACAAGCAAACAGAAAAGGGATTGTTCTCACTAGATGCAAAGAGAAAGAAAGAAAGAATGAATGAATGAAAGAAAGAAATAACAAAAGGAAAATGGAATTGAACAGAAGAAAACTAGAAAAATGGTTATTCTCATTAGAAAGAAAGAAAGAAAGTACGTTGAGAGATTATTCCCATCAAGTTCAAAAAGAAAGAAATTATTAATGAAAGAACGAAATTATTGATGAAAGAAAGAACGCCAAGATATTATTCTCATCAAGTTAAAAAAGAAAGAATGAATGAATGAATGAATGAAAAAAAACATCGAGACATTATTCCCAAGTTCAAAAAGAAAGAAAGAAAGAAAGAAAGAAAGAAAGAAAGAAAGAAAGAAAGAAAGATAGCACGTCGGGAGATTATTCTCATCAAGTTCAAAAAGAAAGATATTTGAGCTTCTTCTGAAACAAGGTTCAAAGAAACCAAAGTGACCTACCTAACAGAAGTAGATGAAGAAAGAAACAAAGATATGTAACTTGTGGTTATTGCCATTTCTGTTCAAAGAAAGAAACAAAGAAACAAAGAAACAAAGAAACAAAGAAAGAAAGAAAGAACCTTATTGGTTGATTCTGGCCGTGGAAACTCAAAGACAATGTTCGTAATGAACTGGCTTGTTCTATTGCTGTTGAAGGAAAAGAACTCTTTATCTCATCATGGCAGGAAGAAGAAGAAGAAGAAAAAGTCGCAGACAGGAGTAAGTGAAGAGGTAAGAGGATGTGGATGAAGGGAAGGTGGAGAAGGAAGGGCAGGATAAATTATTATTTTCGTCATGTCCAAACAAGGAAAGAGGGAATTTGTTCTAAAGAAGTAGAAGGAAGAGGTGGAGGTGTAGGAGGGTAACTCGTTCATAGAATGGAAGAAATATTTTGTTCCAATCTAAAGAGGAAGGATTTCTCACCCGGGCCAAAATAAGAAAAAAAAATAGTTTTAAAAATTTAAAAAAAAAACAAAGATTGTGTTATGCTAATTGCATCTACAAGAAATTAAATCGAAAAAATGACAAAAAAAAAGTCTTGGATTGTTTTTAATATTTCACATTTTAAAATAGATTGTTTTTATTTGAAACTGGCAATTTGTCTCGATCCCTTTGTTGACAAAGGTCAAGTTTGTTCAATTTGTTTTTTTTGTTTTTTTTTTTGTTAGTGGGTGGGGCTATAGTAAGATTCCCCCTGTACAAGTCAAGGGATCACTCAGCGCGGAAGGTTAGTTTATACGGATAAGAGGGACAAATAACTATTAACTCTAGACTTAAATAGGTAAGATTGTCGTGATCGAGGAAACAGAGCAGTGATTCGCGGGAAGAATTTGTTAAGAGTGGAACTGACTTCTCTACAATGGCATACGGAAGGAAATGTGGGTGGTCTGCTACGATGTAAGTGGCATGGCGGGTCCTAGCTGTGAAGGATAGAGCTGGCGATACCAAGGAATATAGTTCATCCGGGCAGTTTCCATCGACAGAGCAGCGAGAGAGTCGCCACATTACAACTCTGTGTAAGAGTTTGGAGGGTGGAGAATAATTCTTCTCCGAAAAAAAGACTCGGAGACGCTTTTGAACTCTGTCAAGACTGGAAAGTGTGGACTGGACAGCTCGCGTTCAAATATGAAAACAGTACTCAATTTCCGGCTTGATCAAACTCTTGTATAGGTAGACGATAGTATAAGAAGCCAGATACTTACTGGAGCGATACAGGGGGTCGATATCTTACGATATTGAGTCACCACCCCCCACGAGGGTGTCATGTGGCACGAGGCCTTTTTAACGTGGGCATTCCCGCGCCATTAGGCTCGGCCAAAAAATAGCCCATTTGAACTCGTATAAACGGGTTCAGGCCGAGTTTATCCCCGAAGGAGACTCCGCCCTTCGGCGTAGCCTCCTTCGGGTTCCTCCCGCCTGTAGGAAGAGAATTTAACCGAACAGTCGGTTCAGAGTTGAACGACTGACGATATTCAGTCACCCCCCACGAGGGTGTCATGTGAACAAGGCCTTTTTAACGGGGGGCATTCCCGCGCCATTAGGCTCGGCCAAAAAATAGCCCATTTGAACTCGTATAAACGGGTTCAGGGCCGGTTTTACCTCCCCGAAGGAGACTCCGCCCTTCGGCGTAGCCTCCTTCGGGCTCCTCCCGCCCGTAGGAAGAGAGTTCAACCGCTCCGTCTCTTCAAAATGAACGACGGACTCACTTGCATGTTTAACAAAGATATTGAAACAAGCTAAACCTCTGTGCTTTTAGGAAATTTGGTTTGATGTTAATCTTGGTGCATCCTTTAATATTAGAATTTTATTATCGTGTCAGCGGTTTTTCTCTCCATAGTCGAAAAAATAGTAATATATGCTTGATAATAAGCAACATGAATTTTAGACATTTTTCGGAATACAGCTCGAACACCTGTCGTTGTGGATGCGAGTTCTTGATTTATTCACGTCTTGAATGAGGATTTTAGTTATTTCGATCTCGTGATCAAATTTTTATCACATGAAATGGCGGGAGAACAGAATATTCCATCCCACTGACATCTGCTCGTGACTGCTTTATCACGAGTTTCCTATTTCTGATGATTTAAATACGTTTTCATCACTACAAAATTTAATCCGCACGCATAATTGAAACATAGCATTTTTAGATTACTCGGCTGTTATTCTACCACGTCTAAAACCGATGTGACCTTTGATCGACACATCCTTGACCGTTGGCCGGGACACGCTATTAAATATATATTACGTTCCGTTAACTTCTTTTCTCTTGTGTTATTTTAAACAAAAATGCTGACATGAAAAAGTGGAAGAACGTTTAGTTGGAAACATGCTTCTTTGAAGTTAATCAAATCTTGTAAAGAGGGAGATAAATGATGTAATATAATAAACTAAAAGAGGAATGGCAATACCAACAAATGCTGCATTTGATGGATGGGACTGTAGACGTAAATATAATTGAATCAGCTACAAAGGAAAACCCAAAACAAAGAAGGCCATAGAAAATTCATCAACAATTCATTTACATAACATAGAAAATTGGCACTTTTATTTCAGTAACATATGCAGTATTTCCTACACGTGATTGTTCATATTGTTTAATACAGGCTTAGGCGATCATGTATCTTTCGATACATGTCTAACAAGTCAGATATTTTCCCGCTGTAAATTGCCATTTCTTTCTGCCGTAGACCAGTTGCCATCCAAGGCTATAGAACCCGGTCTGTCCTGTTATTTATCCATAGCTGGGGGTAGAACAATACTTTTTCCAATGGTATTAGCACGTAAGTGAATTTCAGTCAGTTATGTGCCATGCGTGATACATAATGTAATCATTAGGCGATCATGTAACTTTCGATACATGACTGACGAGGCAGATTTTTTTCCCGCAGTAGGTTACCATTTCTTTCTGAGTTAGACCAGTTGCCATCCAAAGCTATATAACCTGGTCTGTCCTGCTATTTACCCATAGCTGGGGGGGAGAAGAGGATTCATACCTTTCCCATTGTATGTAAGTGAATATAATAGATTCGACAGGAATTCGAACTCAGCTCTCCGATTCCGCAATCCGAGCCGCTATGCATTACTCCATCGTGCCTCCTAAAGTCATTACCAATGACTTCACAGTCAACTACACTGTCTGTAATGCTTGTATTGTAAACTGACCGCAAATAATCTATTTCTCTTCATTTGCAGTAACATTTTATATTATAATTATGAGACATAATAGAGAAATAATAGCCCTATTTATACAAATAATAACCTTATTCTCTTAATTATTCTTGTATTAATAGCCGTGTGGTTAGAACATTCGCATTTGACCATGAGAACCGGTTTCGAATCTGACCATGTTCAATTTGTCAGAAAGGAAACTTCCTGATGTTATCGGACTGGAGGTGTCGTTAGCATCTTTGATTGGATAATGCCTGAAGATAAGATGACTCAGACATTTTCAGTGAAATTGGGTAAACGGATCCCTCGATAGCTGTGCTAGCACGAAGTCACAAGTCATCGTGACTGAGGGATTGAGCGTGCTGGCCTTGTTCAGATTGTTGATCATGCTAGATAACAGGTTCTTTCCCAGAAACTGTAACTAAATTCTGCTCTGCATAGTTGCAGTAAAATCCACAGCTGGGCTATCTCGGTATTAAACAAAGAAACATGAGCCCGAGCAAACTTCTGCAATAGCGAATACGATTGGGAATCTATACTCCTTAATAGCTTTATCGGTAAAAAAAAGCAAAAAAAAAAAAAAAAAAAATGATTGCATTAATTTCTGACCACTAACAATTCCTTTCTTCCTGGATTTTAATGTATTTCAGTAGTAAAATCATTAGCAATGTATTTACATTATAAGCTTAATATCCTTAACTGGCATGAAAGCTTGATTTAATTCCCGGAGCAGCACATTGCTATTCCGCCTCGTTTTCAATTTAACTCAATAATAAATTCATTAGCAATGCATTTCATTTATACACATCAGAGAAATTTTTATCAAATATTGCTGGCATTAATTCCTGTTCAATGACAATCACTATCTTCTGAGTTGAAAATGTATTTCAGTAGTAAAATTATCACTACAATTACGTTATATATTATTCGTAATATACTTGTTAATGATACAAAAATAATAGCTTCGTTTACATGTAAAAATCGGTTAAAATAATAGAAGCCTTATTAATAAAAACAAAAAAGACAACACTCAAAAAATATCAACTATGAACATGGACACAATCTGTTGACCGTGTTTTGAAAATAAAAATATTATATAAATACACGCATTCAACAAACTATTTCTTGTTAACAGTTAATATATTTCAACCTTGAAAATGGATAAATGTATAGCCGAAAGAAAAAAAAAATAATCAACCTTGTCTGTCATATTTAATGAAACTTGCATGAAAGAAGGATTGCTGCCTAAATAATCAATATATATATATATATATATATATATATATATATATATATATATATATATAACTTGGTTTCAAACGTGACACATCATCAGGCGATTTTTGTCAAATGAGCTCGTAATGCTTTTTTTTTTTAACTAATGAAGGCTGTATTATTACTTTCAAAAATAAATAAACGCACGGCTTTGGGTGTAATGAAGAAGAAGAAGAAGAAGAAGAAGAAGAAGAAGAAGAAGAAGAAGAAGAAGAAGAAGAAGGAAAGAAAGAAAGCAATAATATTGTAAATATATCGGGGATGGGTAATTGAAATGTACATTACTATTTTTTAGCCAGCCTCATATGTGCTTAAGAGGAACTTTCTAATATGTAAGCAAGGACTCAAGACTTCGGATTTCTGGATAAAAGATTCTTTGGATCCGAAAATATCCTAATTGCCAGTGTTATTTTTATTTTAATTTTTCACACGTGTATTGAGCAATTTTCATACTATTGTTTTCTGATTCAACTCTGACAATTAACCTTATATATATATATATATATATATATATATATATATATATATATATATATATATGACATGGTTGAAAAAAGTTTTTTTCTGACGTGTTTCGTCCTTCACTGATTAAATTTGTTACGTTGATGCGACTACACAAACGAGGGATGCTAGAAATTTTAAAATCTTTTTTTTTTTTTTTTGGCTCATAACTTTTATTTTTTTTTTGCTCACCATAAAGGACTGGCCAAAATTTTGACATTAGAAATGCTATCCGATCAAAATAGAAAACCTTACACTACGGCGAAAATATTAGAGAGTTCTTTGATCACAACGTCATTCACAGTTAATTTGCACCAAGCCTATTACAACATTACTTGGCAGAACTCCTATTATCACAATATAATATATATATATATATATATATATATATATATATATATATATATTGTTATATATATATGCAAATATTAACAAAAAACTGATAAAAAGAAAATGAATCGAAATGAAATCGGCTAGATTTTTTAAAAATTATAATCAAAATAAAAATTTAAAATTTAAAGTAAGCGCATCTGTATACGCACCAATAAAAAAATTTAGTCTGATGAAGTCCTAAAGGTCGAAACGCGTCACAAGATAACTTTTTTGTCACTGTGTCATACAAACACATATATATATATATATATATATATATATATATATATATATATATTATGAATAAAAATGACAATAGGAAAATTGGTAATTGCTGACGCGTTTCGTCAATGTGGACTTTATCAAAGCAAATACGAAATGAAATTAAATGAACAACGTAATTAAAAAACAAAAAACAGAAATGTACCTATGCAACTGGAATGTAGAGTTTAATATGAGAATGTAGAAAATATGAAATATGAGAATGTAGAAAATATGAAAATATGAAATTTCATCATTCCAGAATGTAAATAATGGGTTTATGGAATGTACATTCTGTTTTTTTTTTATTAGTGTTCTAAATTTTGTTTTTATTTAATTTCATTTTAATTTCATTTTCTATTTTGCTTTGATAAAGTCCACATTGGACGAAACGCGTCAGCAATTACCAGTTTTCCTATTGTCATTTTTTCATTCATAATATTGTCTTCTCTACCGATTAAATCGAGAAATTTTCATATTCATTATATATATATGTGTGTGTGTGTGTGTGTGTGTGTGTGTGTGTGTGTATTAAAGGCAAAACGTGTGTGTGTGTGTGTTTCTGTGTGTGTGTGTGTGTGTACCTATCTACAATGTGTGTGTGTGTGTGTGTGTGTGTGTGTGTGTGTGTGTGTGTGCATCTGCACGTTAGGACCAAAATAGGACAGATATGTATCGAATCCGACAAAATGTTTCGATGAAAAAAGTAAACAAACTCGGATGCTGATACTGATTTTGGAACGCTGCAAAGAGAGAGAGAGAGAGAGAGAGACAGACAGACAGACAGACAGAGAGAGACAGAGACAGTGACACGGTCGGCTAATGGATAGCGGCTTGGATTGAGGAATCGGAGAGCGGAGTTCGAATTCCAGTCGAATCCATTACATTCACTTACGTGCTAATACCCTTGGGAAAGGTGTGAATCCTCTTCTTCTCCCTCCAGCTATGGGTAAAATAGCAGGACAGACTGGGTTCTATAGCCTTGGATGGCAACTGGTCTAGGAGAAGGAAAACTTTGAATTCAAAACCTGCGGAGGGTCGTTTAGGGACCTTGTGGCACCGTGCGCATCAGGTCTTTGTATTCGGCCCGTCAAAAATGGTGGATGATCCTGCACGAAACCTTCACCACTATAATCAAATCTCATGTGCTGTTTGTCGGGCTGTCGGTTTCTTATTTGATCCTCATACGCCGAATTATACGGGAGAGTCGATTATATATATATGGACATTGGAGTCAACACCAAGAGGCGACAATTTATATCATACTAAATGCAGTTGTCAGGCACATAACCTGCTGATTGCTTTCAGCAGAAAACTTAATGTCGCCTATGGGTGTTGATTTCTATGTCCACTTTTATATTTAGATTCGCTCCATTCGTGATACTGATCAGTTTAAGTAAATATAGCATATCATAAAAATATATTTTATCGCATATATAAACACACACACGCGCGCACACACACACATTTGTAAACAGTGACTATTACGGTTAATAATGCAAGAATTTTCGGTAAATCGAATCGAGTTCTTTCAGTCACTTTGTGTTTATCTCAAAATAAATACGCTTAAATTCACCTTTCGTCCCTGCCGTGCGCCAAAGACTTAATGGCAGAAGCCCCGACTGACGCCAATTCAGTCGGGTTTCGATCCAAGCTAAAGGCAACCGGACGCCTAGCCACATTGATGAGATGCGAAACAGTCTGTCTGTGGATGACTATATATATATATATATATATATATATATATACACACACACTGCGTGCCAAATTATTATCGAGATAAAGTTTTTTTCTAATATTTCAAAAACCGTCCAATCAATTCACACAAAATTTTCACACACTGTTGGCAACACTGGCCTGCGCAATCACTTAAATTGTCTTACTGATCTGCGCAATGTAAACAAACTGGCGCCATATTTGTGATCAGCACAGTGATTTGTGCCAAATTATTAGAAAGGTTTAGTAAAATTCCCAGAATTGATCAAACAAAACGTTTATTAATGTTGCACGTGAATGTTTATGATCAAAAGAAGCTAATAAATAAGATAATCAAACAAATAATAACAGATACAAACAAAGGCACAGTTTTAAACAAATTAATAGGGAATGTGATTTCCCTGTTTTGAAATTACTTGAAAAAGTCGACGATCCATAGAATTTGTTAATTGTAGGATGTCATCTGCTGTAATCCCGCGAGATATGTCAAGAATTGCTTCCCACAACTCAGCGTTCCTCCTGAATTGTCGTCTTCGCTTCATGATGCTCCAAAGGTTTCCGATTGGGTTCAAATCCGGAGAATTTGCTGGTCACTTCATTTTTCGAGGTCCATCGAAGCCTAACTGTTTCAAATATTCAGTAGTCTTGTGAGCAGCATGTGAGGGAGTATTATCTTGCATAAAAACAATGGCCCTTCTGAAGGCAACTCTTTCTCTTTTCATCCACGGTTCAAGATGCTCCTTCATAAACGCTATGTGTGCATCAGCTGTCATTTTGACGCCATCTGGTACTCTCCATGGGTCGACTAATGTTTTTCCAATAATACCAACCCAGATCATTATGCCTCCACCGCCTTGTTGGCGTCTCAAACGCTGATGGCGATTCTGTCCGTTCATTACCCAGCCTTTGCACCATCTATCTGGCCCATCTTGTGTTGCTCGAGTTTCGTCTGTGGACAAAACTTTAGAGAAGTCAATCTTCATATTGTCCTCGGCCCATATCAATCGATTTTGAATGTGATTTCTCGTCAACGGAGGCTTCGATACAGGTTTGACTGTTGTTGCTATTTCCCTCAGATACCGACACCGAGTACATTTAGACACAGTAGGATCCCCAATGCGACTGAAAAGCTCTTGACTGGTAAGTCCAGGGTTATTCGTGGCCTCTCGTTTAAGTCGTGACATGAGACGACGTGAAATAACCTTCGGCTTGCCTTTATCTGCCCTTTTGCGTACTTGTGTAGGGTCGGCGGTGAACGTTTTCACTGTGTGATGCTACCTCCTTATCATTTTAGAAATTTCTAGGGTAGATTTACCTTTTGAGAGTTCTGAGGTGATAGTTTTCTTTTCAGCATCACTTAAACTGCTTTTACGGCCCATCTTTTCACTAAATTCTTACACTTTTCTAATAATTAGGCCCGCTCAAATCACAGTGCTGATAACAAATATGGCGCCAGTTTGTTTAAATTACGCAGACCAGTAAGAAAATTTCGGTGATTGCGCAGACCAGTGTTGCCAACATTGTGTGAAAACTTTGTGTGAATTGATTCGACGGTTTTTGAAATATTAGAAAAAAACTTTATCTCGATAATAATTTGGCACGCTGTATATATATAAATATATATTAAGAAATGGACAAAGTCCGACAATTTATTTATTAAAGACATTTTTATGTTTAACGTTCTTTTTTATAGATACAAGTATTTAATGTTCACTTCAATGTTCACTTATATATATATATATGAACAGATTGGATGAGATAGATAGATAGATAGATAGATAGATAGATAGATAGATAAAATTGTTGTGTCTGAAGGGGACAGTGAATATGTGTGTGAGCGAGTGATAAGCGTGTGTGTGTGTATGTTTATGTATGAGTTAAAGCGAGAAAGAGTGTGTATTTTTTATGCCTCTGTGTATCTCTGTGTGCACTCGCTCGCGTGTATATGTTTATGTGTGTGTATCTGTGTGTGTGCGCACACGCGATAGACTTATACTATTCCCGATTCTCTATTCCATTTTTACCAACTGCATCAGCCCAAGGTCTACCTCATGACGTCGGCGTATGTCACATTTTGCTGCGCTCAAAATAAATATACACGAGAAGACATCGTCGTCATCCTGTTATTTGCATCTTACAGTTTTGTCGCTGTTTCCACTTTTGCATGTCTCACAATTCTTGTTGCAGGAGACAATTGTGTAGGCTTGACCAGAATCAATCACACAAAAGCAATAACGTGACTCGTTCCTCGTCGACGCCATTTTTGTTTCAACCAAGTACAGATAAATCTTTACTGATGCGAAGCTTCACGCAGCACACAAATAAGAAAGGTTACTGAAAACTTATCGGCAGCACGCACTTCCCAAAATCTGACTAAATGACCAAATGTCAGAATTTATTTTTGTTCTTTAAATCCTTTATTGGTTGGGTTGAGAACTTTTCAGCAAGAGTGCGAAGAGAGAACTTACAGGTTCTTAGGAAGAATTAGGGCAGCCGCCGCACGAGATAAAAATATATATATATATATATATATCCTGACTCTTATCACCTTTCATCATTTGACAGGCCTTTTATCTCACACACATTTTCCCTCTTTCTCACACACACACACACACACACACACATTCTCTCTCAGATGCACACACGCTTGCTCTCTTTGACATACAAGCCCACACATTCTCTCACACATATACGATGTCTCATTCAAACACACTTTGTCACTCAAACGCACACTCTCATGGGCACACACATACACACACCCATTTACTCTCTCTCTCTCTTTTTTACAGACGCACACAGACTCCTCAAATACACACTCATACACTATTTCTCACTCTCAAAAATGCGACTATACACCCACGCACTCTCTCACATATATTCTCTTTCACCCTCTCAATCACACTTTCTTTCAAACATACACACTCTCGCAGTCACTTTCGCAAACATACACAATCTATCTATCTATCTATCTATCTATCTATCTATCTATCTATCGAATATTTGCTATAATTTTTTCATAGTAGAGAAATGATTATTTATTATCATTTTTTCATATAGACAAAAACAATTTACTCACGACAAAGATGCAACTTTGTTTCGGTCCGTTTAGTTGCACTTCAGCTGGTGAAAACCAACGAATATATATATATATATATATATATATATATATATATATATATATATATAGTCATATGTTATATATCTCAGTCTGCGTCTATTTATCTATCTATCTATCTGTTTATATAAATTTTTCTTATCTATCTAAATTTTTGGTATAAATCTATCTCAATTTATTTATCTATCTATATCAGTTTTTCTTATCAATCTCAATCTTTCATATTTATCGGTCTCAACTTATGCATTTATCTATCGTTGTCACTTATTCTTATCTATCCAATATTTTATCTATCTCAGTTTTTCTTATCTGTGTGTCTACCCATCTGAATTTTCTCTATCTATTTACCTATCTCATCTTGCTCATTTTATATCTATCTAATCTTATTCATTTTCTATCTATCTATCTATCTATCTATCTATCTATCTATCCCAGCTTGCTCATTTTCTCTCTCTCTATCAATCTAAGCTTTTTCATTTTCTTTCTTTCTTTCTTTCTCATCTTGCCCATTTTCTATCTCTCAATGTAAGCTTATTCATTTTCTATCTATCTATCTATCTATCTCAGCTTGCCCATTTTTTTCTCTCTCTTTCTCTCTCTCTCTCTCTCTATCTGTCTAAGCTTTTTCATTTTCTATCTATCTATCAATCTATCTATCTATATCAGCTTGTTCATTTTGTATCTATCCATCTATCTATCTATCTATCTATCTATCTATCTAAGATATTTTATAAGTGTTCTTCTTCTTTTTTGCAATCTCTATCTTAGCTACCATGTCCGAAATACATCCTGCTTCAACATTTAATCTGAAGATCATGGGAATACAAGGCGTTAACTTCAATTCAAATATTCGATATCTCTTTACCGACCAGCCAGTGCCAATGAATTTAAACTTTTCTTCACTCCCTCACCATCGGGCTGGGATCAACTTGTAGTATCTGTTTTCCACGTCTCTACTAGCAATCGTAATACAAGCCGTTCCCTTACAAGGAAACATTCGACATTCGTTGCCCGAACAAATTGTGTTACATTTTTGCCTACTCCTTTACCATCATGCTAGGTAAAAACTGTAGTAACTCTACTGATTTTTAATCGTAATGGAAACATTTGTTATTTATTGACCGAACAGCCAGTGATACTTACTTTTGTAGTGGGAGTTCACTTTTCACAGACCAAATTAACCGACTTGATTTTTGTTGCTCGGAATCTTGGAATTTTTTTTTGTTTTAAACACCGAACTTTACGCTAAGTTTTTAAAAATTATTTTTTATACGTTCTTTTCTTGATTATTCCTGATTGAATTCTTGAATTTTTCCTTTCATTTTTTTTTTTTACCCTTTTTTTTAAGCCTCTTGATTTGCTTTAACTTTTTGACTTATATTGAACTTATTTTTTTCAGTTTATTCTGTATTTTCCTATTAATATCCCTCTGAAACAGTATTTACATTATTCGGACTATTGTCCTCATCTGTGTCGCCATATTTATCACAACGTT